GAGAGTTATCGCTGGCTCAGATTGACGATGACTTTGGACTTGTCTAATGCCCGTGGACGTGTTGACTGTGTGTGTTTCTTCTTTAGTTTCAAGAATGTGGAGATCTGTCGTTGTTTGGTTTCTTGGAAGACTTTGTCTGCTGTTGAGTCAAACCAGTCTTGGACTTGCTTGAAGACTCCTTCAGGGACTTTGGAGCGGAGATGGTTCTCAAGTAGGCCAACTTCCTGTATCAGTCGGGACTTGGTCATTCTGGTGAATTGGATACGCTCCCGGACGAGAGAACTCCCGCAATTTTCCATGATGCGCTTGGTCTTGGCTTTAGTGATGCTCGACTCTGATGTCTCGTGAGCGCTCGGGGCAAGCAAATACATGTATACCCAGAAACCGAAGCGCAGTGCTATGTTATTCTTTGTAGAGCATCCAAGTGGACACCATGACTACACTGGCACTGCACTCACTAGGGTGTTAGAGCTTGACACGCATAATGTAATACATGCATTTCACCTGTCCACAAACGTAATGCTACTGAGTAATGGCTTCTTTATAGTCTGATTGCTGAATAGAACTGTAAGACTGTGCACAGTAGTATGGTCTTGGTCTTAGTCCCCGGGTGCCCCTTTGGTGGTGCACATGCTAACCATTGCTATCAATATTTGACCCTCAGCCGTTCTTGAAAATGTGTCTGTGTGAATAAACCACAGTATTCGCACTTTGTAACTGGTTCCCACCTATTCTTTTCAAATTTATTAATGCCGTGAAGGGGCAAGGAACCTGCCCTTTCCCGTTCAGTCTCTTAACCCTGCTTTTGCTAATGGCGCCTGACAAACTGTCCATGTGAACCGGGGAGGTGTAAGTGCCCTTTCCATGCCCATGTTGCTTAGTTGTATTGCGTGTTTATCTACTAAGTCCACTGTTGACTCATGGAAATTTCCGTCCATGGTGTCATGTACGTGTACAGTATCCCAACAAAGTAGTAGACTTCCCCCCGCCATGCTTTTTTATATGGTGGTGGTGGTTGTGTTGCTATTTTTCTGCAGGTCATTCGGGGTGCCTATGTAGAAGTTAGCCACGCTGTCTGAGCCGCCATACCAGGGCATGTCCAACGAGGAGGCAGGCGAATATTTCAAGAACGGCAGCGTCTTAAACAAGTCGGAGTGCTGTCCAGATAAGCTGTGAGTGCAAGGGCATCATTTCTACTCAGGCCTGAGGTGCCATTTCCTCCCCTTGGCTTTGGTCTCAAGTCCCGGACTTTGGCCATTCCGGAGCATAACACGCCCCCTTTTTTCTGCTATTGTTATATCCAGTCCTTCAAATCAAACCAATCAATATTGAGACCGTTTCAATGTCCTCAAATCTGTCACGTCAACAAATGATTTCAGTGCAGGAGACTGTGCGTAATATCCAAGACTGAGACAAAGGGTTGGGAAATGGCTTAAGTGTAGATTGTTAACGTTATTTGTTACAACAAAATTCACTTTTTACCACTATGGAAAACTATACTGTTAAAAAGGTTTTCTCAAGTTTGAACTTCATTATGGAACTTAATACTGCAATGTTGTTTCCCGAAGATCATCAAAGCATGCATTCAGAACGGTCACTTGCTAAGGTGCACCTGACAATTTTTATTTGGAGAAACCATTTATATCTCGAAAGCAACAATTCACATTACAGACGCAAACCTTAGCCCGTAATCTACATGTATCTTGATACTGCATTGTTTAGGGAGTCCGTTTGACCAAGTACACAGACCTCACCATCCTTGGAAACGGACCTCAGATCTGTATTAATTCTAATTGGTTATGCTTACATGTAGTTAGTGCCTTCCATCAGACCAGTGATATCGAAACTGCCTCATAAATGTCACCTTGTACATGTACGTCAGGCCAGACAAGTCATTTGCCGGCATTGGTGCACATGCAGCCTTTGCTCTCAAAGGTGTGCAGTTCTTACAGTTGGATGGTTAGAGGCAGGCAAGGGTAAAGAGCCTGGCTAAAGGCCCCTAGCAATAAGCTGTTGGGTTCAAACGGCAAACCCTTTGATTGCGAGTCACCACGCTTAACCATATCCTGCCGGGGAGCCCCATTTCGTGTACCTTGGGTTTGTACACACAGCCGGGGTGCCCAGAATCGGACAAAAGCGCTGTGCCTTGTAACAAAAGACCTCACTCCGAACAAAAGGCAATATTTTTTTGTTCACTTATTTCTTAAGCTCTCAACTCGTACAAATGTCTTTTGTATAAAATATTTGGTAGTATATCAATTTAAAGAAACTGAACAATTATCTGACCTTAAAGAGGAATATCCTGTCACAAATTGAGCAATAATTGCCAAAAATCTAAAATGCATGAAGAAAAGTCTAATGCGGTGGTCTCGCACGCAGATCATGCGGGATTATACTTTTGGGTAGTCTTTCGGTAAAAGCCAACATAAAACCAGACTAAATCATTTTTAAGGATTTTCTAACTTCCAAGGAAATAAACTTGCAACAATAATCTTTTACGAAAGATTCTAAAGTTAAGTCTGACCTTTGCTGACAAGAACTGCGTGAGGTCACTCGACTGAATCTAAAAGCAATGGACTGCAGGTAGGTAAATCTTTGCAACGTTGTATAAACTTGAGCAAGGGGAATGAAAAGAATGGTGCGTCAACAAGGATGCCCATATGAATGACACTGTGAAAGGTCGTTTATGAAACTCGTTTTGTAAGCATCTCCAGGTGACTTTTCCAAAATATTACTCGAGGAGGACTACCAGATTTGAGCCAGTTTTATGAAGTAAAATGTGTTTTCCTTTCTCAATTTTGTTTGCTGTGATAGACGTTCGTTGCACTCCTCAGTGGTACAGTTGTAAGTATTGAATATTTATTTTATGTTCTGATGTCATTCATTTGCATTAACATGATGATAGGGCTCTAAAATGTGAAACCTGCATTAAAGACTCCAGAGTGTAAGTACACACAATGCCAGCGGAATGTGAACAATTGGATGTGGCCCTTCAATTATGTGCATTGGAGCGTTAGTTGATGTGTCTATATAAGACACATCCTAGGTCTGGGGGAGTGGGTTAGCGTAGCCTTTTTTTCCCTTTGCACCGATGAGGCCCTGGTTCGATCCCGGCTTGGCCCAGGCTTTAAGTGCATTTGGTTTCCAGTCCATACTCGCTCTCGCCGGTTTTCTTCGGGTACTCCAGTTTCCTCCTGCCTTTTTTCTTAACTTCGTAATGTGATGCTGATTAATAAAGATTAATTAATAATGATTAATAACGTATAGTTATTGGCGTAAAAATAGCCTGAGTAGCTGAAACCACCATCATAACAAAACAACAACTACCCTACGTCAGTCATTTTTGCTGTCTTTGTTCTCTCTGCAAGCCGTTTATTTACCAGCTTTCCTCTTCGGGTTTTAGCACAATATGCTTTCCCCTTTTGCTTGTCTGCCAAGTGTTTTCTTGTAGGAGTATTTCAGACTCCCAGGCAGCTTCGTGACTTTGGACTGCAGTGTGGTGACTGACTACCAGCAACGATGGAGGCCACATGTCCAGGGCCCTTCCTAAGTGGCATTTAACTACCACAAGAGATGACGACCGATGTCTAGCCCAGTATGGTGCCTGAACGGCACGGACACGCTTTCTACACTCTTGCGCATGACGTGTGGCTGTTGAAGGCGTGGCTATCATCTTGCACCTGAGCATGGCTACCTGATGTGTGTTTAACAGAAACAGATGCAGTGTTTTCAGCTCCGCGTCTAGCCGGAACCAAGAGCTGACGCAGGATGTGAGCAAAATGAGAGATTGAACTTTATTTAGGAGGAGGACTTGCTTTAATTGAGTAAGTAACTTTCTAGTGAGTTCATAATTTCATTGTATTTGAGTATAGACTGCCTTAACGGCTAGTCAGTCACCTTGTTAGTACATTGCCTTATGTCGTGGCGCATTCTGCCTTATAGGCACATTTTGCCTTCATGGCGTATTACTTTTAGCCTTGGTGGCGTATGTTTTCTTGGTGGCCTATTTCGATGATAGAGTATTTGCATTATTGGCGTACATACCTAGCCTTGGTGGCACATTGGTTGTTGCACCTAAGTGTCATTTGGTAAATTTGCATCGATAGTTTGATTTTTTTAAATTTCGGGTGTATTTTCGAGGCTGTAAATTTGAATGTGTCGTGAATTGACTGTAACGGTGTGTTGAGACTGGAGCTCCCCCGCAGTGTACTGTTCGATGGATTGGTGGTGTAAATTTCTTTGACCTGAGTGTTTTGTGTGATTTCAAGTCTGGTTTACTTTTCAATCTTCAAAATTAGGCAACAAATTCGGCAACTTTCTGTGTCATTTTTACTGTCAGGCTCTACTCGAGTTCCCCACGCTCAGCGCAGCTGGCGGATGTAACCTTGTCGATCACTTCCCTAAGACGTGGTGCCTTGCATTGATAATCGCCGGTGTTAATTCATTGGCCTGAAGTCACGCCAGAGATATATTTTGTGTCAGTGCCGGCCCCGGCAGTGGTTAAAGCCCTTCTGGTTTCTGGACAAGTCGCTTACGCTGTAACTTTTTTCATGGTAACTAGCGGATGTGTATGGGGTGTTATAAGAAGACAGTTACGTTAGAGAGCCTAGCCCTCAAGAAACCAGAGGAATGGTGACCATGAGTCCACAATGTCGGCTTCAAAAAGAACCTGTACTCGGTTTCCGTTAAAGTATGTTGCACTGATGGCAAAGCCATTCAGATCTTCGATATGACACATAGGGGACATAAACAAAAGTTGAAGTTTAAGTTAAGTACTCAAATAATGCACTTGTCTTTCTTTGATGGTGTGTTACTCTGCGAGACATGGGAAGTGCAAAGAATTGAGACTGAGGGAAGCCAACTGCAACATCCAAAATCAGATTCGTGTACCTATGAAGAACTTGATCAATTACAAATGTAGGAGATTTTTTCCTATGTTCTCCTTACGCTATGACAACTTTGGTGATCATCATGGGCGGAGATCCCTGGGGATAATCATCCCTCACTACTTTTCAACTCACTACCGGTACACCTTTATGCGCACCCGTAGCCTGCACCACCAACTCCGCACTTGCCGGCATTACGATCTAACCTGGGATGGAGGCAGTGCTGAGCTTGTAGGATAAATACGATATTATCTCCCACGTGTGACAAGAAATCTCGGCCCATGGTTACTGTTTTCTAGTTATTAGCGCAGAAATTAAAATGATGTCCTGGACAGATAATCTTACAAGTGGTTTGATGTTCTGGATTGCCCAGAGGAAACATGTTTTAAAAATCATCAGACAGTTTACCAGTTGGCTGCTTTGCAAGTAAACTTTAATCTTTCATGCAGACTCAAATCATAGTTGTACTGACTGAAAAGATAAAACAGCAAACAGGAAGAACAGCCGAAAGGGTGAGATAATCTTAAAATAGGCCCTTTTAAATTTAAGGGGTAGGCCTAACTCTTGAAGGAGAAATGCCAATAATGCATAAACAAGGATTGGCACGGAACCCTTTTCTTTTGCTATGGTTTGGTGGTTTATCGCATTCGTCAGATTCCATGTATGACCCAAAAGTACATTAAAAGCAGGAGTCATTCTTGTTTTGTTTTTAACAACTTGATCAGAAGACTTTCCATCAAAATAAAGAACTGCGTGTTACGTGTGCAAACTTGTCTTGACAAGAAAGTTGTTTTAGTTTGAAAGGTAGGCTGTTATACCTTTCAAGACTTCATTTTAGCCTTGAGGAACCTGAAGGGGTGATCAGTGCTTTGAACATCCATTAATTGTCCGCTGGGCGAATAAAGTTGGATCCATTCAGCAGGATCAAAACTTGTCATGTCTTTTGCTATGCATGTCGAGGTCCAAAGATTTGTTTGAGACAGACGACACTTTGGGGCAAAATTGACTCCCCCGAAAATGGGAGATAATTATACGGGTGTTAGAAATAGGAGCTGCGTGCTGAATATTCACGAATTGTCAAAACGGAAGGAATTGCCATTTTATATTAACCGCCACCAATCAAAGCTCAACATGAGAGGTAAAACATTATATATTCTAAGGCCGTATATGCCTATGGCAAGAAGTCAGCTAGGGTCGCGTTGGTTTCTCCTTTAGCAGGTTTCATAAATTTCCTCGTCATCGCAACCCTCACTGCAGCATTCCTCGTTAAGATTTCGCTTCCCGATACCACGTCCGAACAAGAATGTGTTGGCGTCCTTTGAATCCAGAAACTCTGCAGCAATGGGGACGAAAAAAAAGTTTTTGTTTTCACTAAAAAATAACTGTCTTATATTATATTCACCTTCAGCCTGACTTCGAAAAAAGTTGATTCTTCTACAAAACAACAGAGTGATTAGAAACGACGGGCCCTTTAATTAACGAGAAGGTCTTCTACAGCCTTCTTCTGCATTTATTTATGTGAACAGTCTGTCGACGGAGACATGCCTGCATCAAGGCGAGCAAACCGGTCCCCCCCCCAAAAAAAAAAAAGAAAACAGAAGGCGCAAAGTATAGACTGAAACAAAAAAGAGGGAAAATGGGATAAAATCCACCAATTTGAACTATTTCAGTTTTCATTCTCTGTGAGCTTTGGAAAGAATGAGTTTTGTGACAACAGGACAAGCAGTGTTCCCAAATTATGCAGTCTGTCTTTAGAAAAGCCTTGGCGAAAAAATGGAGGGGGCGGTCTCGATGCTCAAAAAGGATTAGTATGAAATTAGTGTTTTTATTTTTTGTTTGTTTGACAGAAGGTTTTTGATACGTTTTCGTAACCAGGCTCATCTCACAGGGGATAGACAGGGCCAAGCGTTACTGGGGGGGGGGTTACCTTGCCTCTCTTTGCTACACCACGGGTGAGAGACAGCATTTGAATTGTTCAGTTAACTTGATTTTTGACTTCACTACCTTGGTTGGAGACTCCACGTAATGCATGGCAAATCTCACGGTATTTTTCTTGAAGAGTCGCGCCACAGTAGTGCGGATAGCGAACCCTGCGCAAAATGGGTCCAAGATAACCATTATATCACCTTTTATAAATTACAGGTAGTGCTTACTGATGCCATACAGCGCTGAAAAAAAGTGTTACAATATACCAGCCGGCATCAGCCTGAAGAACGACAAACATGCCAATGTCTTATACGCTACATTACACTCGATTAATGAGGTGATGTCGGAATTTCGAAATGTCTTTGAATCGAAGAAACGAAGTTATCCTCTCAAACACGGATAGATTATGCAGCGGAAGGAAATGTAGGGTCAGAGAATAATGTCGTTTAACCTGTTAATATGAATTGTTATTTAAGCCTTAAAGGAACTTAGTCATTCCCCCAAGCATGAACAATGGATGAAAATAGCGTATACTTTCCCCAGTCTTCGTTTGGTGTAACTCACAATTTTAAAGGTGTTATCTTTTAATCAAAGAAGCGAAAATGTCCCGGGGGAATTTCAAGTAAGAGGATCGTTTTGTTGAAAAGCATTTTTAAATGGATTATAAAAATTTACTGCATCAAAATACGAGCAGTGAATGTGAACTTCTTCACAAGGTCAGAAATGCTAATGTAAAGTGAGAGGGCACAATCGTTAATTTACCTCGCAATTGAAAAATAAATTACCCACAATATTGAAGTAATCCACTTTTCAAATTGCCAAATGTCAGGTTAAATTTGATTCCTTATATAGAAGTTTTCGTTTTGTAGTTATTAACTAAAATATTAACGAGTGAAGACATTTTTAATAGTTTAATATCTTGCCGATCACAAATGACAATGAGGACACTTTTGTCAGGTTACTGTCAAATATCATATTGGAATGTAAAGTGCTAAAGTCAGAAATAAGTCATTTGACATTGGACCGTGAACATGGATACGGTAAAAGCAAACAAAATGGCGATGCGGCGACGTTAGAATACGAATATTTGGGGGGATGTGTGCTGAATTGTACAAAACTGTATTAATAATAGTGACGGTATTTAACAACGGTATTTATAATGTGAATTGGATACTTTAAGGATAGAAATAAAACTTATAATTACCATAACTACCTGCTCGGGTCATTTAGGCCCGTTTCAGACGTCGTGCTTCTGCCGTGTGAAACTAAATTGAACTTGGTGCGGCAGTAGCGCGGCATAAGCACGGCGGCGGTTTCAAACGTCGAACTTAATTTAAACTATCCAGTCGAGCTTAAATACATCCAATATGGCGGACAAACACAGCAAAAAGCAATACTTTGTGCTCTTGCATAAGATTCGAGCTGCTAGAAGAAAAAAATGTTTTGCTGCAGCAGACACTTCCCAATCAGGTACTGGTTTCCCGCAGAAGCACGACGTTTGAAACCGTGCCGTGCTTGTGCCGTTCTGAACGGCAGAAGCACGGCAGACCCTGCCGTGCTAAGTGCTTCTGCCACGCCAAATCAAGTTGCCTAGCCGAACGGTTTCAAACGTCGTGCTTCTGCCATGCTAAATTTAAAAAAATCAATTTATTTAAGTTCGACAAGGCAGAAGCACGACGTCTGAAACGGGCCTTACAGATTCCAAAGGCCTTGCGGTCCTAACACCCTGCGAGGCGTTAAGTATACATTGTTTTAATGAAGTCTTCAATGGCCTCTACCGGATAGTCGCTTTTGTCACGGTGTATATAAGGCCAGAGTACCTTTATTTCCATTCCTGCTGAATTTGAAGGGGGGGTCTGTAGGCGTCAAAACTCCGGCATTCATCAACTGCCAAAGCACAGCTGTCCTCTTCCAACTATGGAATTCCATATCTGCCGTTGTGCGTCGCCCGTCGTCCGTCGTGCGTCGCCCGTGTTTTTTTTTTGTCGCGATTGCGCAGTGGTATTTTTAACTTTGACCCTTGATCGTTTCACATGTACATGTCCTTGTTCGATCG